AAAGAATAACCTGGATAAAATTGTGCTAATTCTGCAATCATTCAAATCATTTGAATTAGCATATTTTGTGTGGTGAATTCTGCAAGGTTCTGTCTTTGGACATGGAAAGAATATTCATAATTATTTGTTTCTCAGTAGAAAAATCCTTTCTGTGTAGAAATCCTCCCCCCCCCCCCCCCCCCCCCCACCGAATAATCTCACCACAATTCTTCAGGACATTTGAAAATGTGGAGAATAGTACAGAGAAATATTTGTTTTCTTCTGCAGTGGGAGAAAATTACCATAATTATTTGTTCTTGCAGATTGCAGAGCTGGACCATGAAGAAATCAGATAGAAGGAAAATCAACTTGAGATGAGGAGCTGGAAAAGAGTGCTTAGGATACCATGGATAGCCAAGAAGACAATCAATTGAGTTCTAGAGCAGATCAAGCCAGTACTCTCCCTGGAAGTTAAGATGATCAAACTGAGGCTCTTGTACTTTGATCACATCATGAGAAGGCATGACTCATTGAAAAAGGCAATAATGCTAGGAAAGGTAGAGGGCAGTAGAAAGAAAGAAAGATCACATACCAGATAGACTCAATCAAAGAGGCTACAGGCCTGAACCTGTAGGACCTGAACAGAGCAGTGGAAGACAGGGGGTCTTGGAGATGTCTTATCCACAGGGTCACCATGAGTTGAGGTTGACTCAAGGGCAGTTAACAACAAGACTGGATTTCAACAGGGGAATGCTCTTTCTGGGCTTAGTCTGATGCTTGGGTGATACACCCAAAGTTGAAAATGAGGCCAAAGCAAGCCAAAATGACATCTTCAGTGCTCAGGCAGCAGGAAGTTGATTGTTCAGGTGGCTGAAGCCTTTATGTACAGGCGCATCCAAGGTTTACTGATGCTCCATCTCCTTGCTGTTAGAACCAAACCCTTTATGCCTCACCATCAAGTTACATAAAATGTGTTGATATAAAGTGGAGTCAGAGTGCTAAAATATGTCTAAGTCCTTGGAAGCCCCACTAGTTTGTAAATTTCCAACAGATATGATAAAACTGGAATAAATATTTGATGGATGTTCAAATAATTACTTAAACCAGATGAATCATCAGATCTGTGTGGGCGAGTGTCTGACCATCATTACTTCAGATCTGTACATGGGATTCTGATCATGTGCAATGAGTTATTTATATTGCAAATAAATAAGAGTGTTGTCTTGGAGTTGTTTGAATGTTCAAACTAATGAGTGAGGAACCATGAGTTAATGGGTTTTGTTTCTGTCATATTTCTGAGTCAACAGAGGGGAAGTATTGTGCCTATGCCCAATAAGGAGATTTGTATTCTGTCTTTGTATCAGTAGAAAAGACTTCTCCTCATCTTCAGATGGACCCTTGGAGTATGGAGAAAGGAACACCAAACTAGCTGTGCTTCTTTTCTCAGAAGTCTTCCATCCTAAACAACAAGCCTAGATTTGGACTCCCCTAAGAGAAACATGGGGAACTGCCCTGTACTGAGTCAGACCACTGGTCCATCAAGCTCCGTACTGTGAATACTGATGGGTAGCAGATGTCCAGGATTTTGAGCACCATCTTTTCCAGAACTCTTTGGAGATGCCAGGGATTGAACTTGGGTTCTTCTTCTGCATCTAGAACAGATGCTCTTCCACTCAGCTATGCCCTCTCTTCTCCAGGCAAGATATACTGTTAGCAGGTCATTCCATGTTACCTTGTTTTGACTTAAATTGCTAAAAAGGTTTACCATGATGTTTCCTATTTGAGGGTGAGTAGTAGAGCAAACACATGGCCCAACCCATGCAGTGATCTGTGTTCAAGAGCTCAGAAGCAGACATATAACTCCATCAAGAATGGCCGCACCATCATTTTGACACAAGGAACTACTAATTCCAAAACATCAACATTGGCTACTTCCATTGAAAAGAATGGGGATCCTCTCTCACATAAGGTATTTGTGTATTCTTCATGGCCCTCTGGCTCTCCTAGTGAGTAAGGAACACCTACTACAAAAGAAACCATAGCGGTTCTGTTAGGTTTAGATGGGACATAGAGTCAATGTTAAAATGTTGAAA